AGGTCTAGGAGATAGCGTTGGGCCGTAGTTTGTCCCTAGCAAACAATTCTAACTATTTCTTCCCAACAAAATGCCAGGCGTCAGCAATACGCCGGGACGCAATACCGAAGCTTCGCTGCCACGAAATCCACAGCAGCGCACGCGGATTAAGGATACTACGAGGGTCGCCTAGTCCTAGTGCAGGCTAAAACTAGCACACCCGGATAACAAGGCAGACTTGTGGTACTTAAAGCTAGGTGCCAACATATTGTGCCACAGGTAGAATGCAATCATCATCATCCTCCTCCTCATCATCATCATTATTATTATTATTAGTATTGTTATTCTTATTGTTATTATTAGTATTATTATTATCAGCATCATCATAAATACACGTTAGCTGAGGGTGAGAAACACACCTCAGCTAATGTGCTGCAATACAAAAAGATAAGACTAAAAAATTACACTACAAAGTACACAAATTACACTATAAAAATTATAACGTTAAATATTACATTATGCGTTTTGCATGAGATCGGGATTGGAGGGGGAATCTAAAAGGAGGGGTTGGACAAAGAAACTCACAATACAAACGCCATTGGATCCGGCTCCTAGCCATATCAACAAGTGTGTACAGCCAAACGTGTTCATCGTCCTTAGGACCCCAGCCAGGCAGTCGGGATGCACCAACCGACTCCAGTTTCGAAGTGAGCGTTTTCATTCCTCTCGGTCAGGTCACCGCTTGGCATCTCCTCCTCTTCTTCCAACCGCACCCACAACGCGCAAACAATGCACGTCGTGGGAGTCGGTGTGCTGGCACGCGTAACACGTGGCCCAGCCATCGGAGCCTGGTGCTTGATATAATAGTGCTGAGCAGTTCCCTCGCTTTTCCTGCACCAAATACGCGACGCCGAACACGCTTATTGCTCACGCGGTGCTCCCACCAGACATGAGCTAAGCTGCGAAGGCAGCGATGATCGAATGTGAAGAGCCTCTTTAAGTCTGTCAACCTGATGGGCCAGGTTTCACAACCACATAGGAGGGTTGAACGGACAGCTGCGTTATAAACTCTGCCCCTCAGGGCGAGAGGAATGTGCCGTCTGCGCCACGGGTGGGGGAGATTGGCAAAAGCACCTCTAGCTTTTGCTATACGGTTCGTAACCTCATCTGCGATTCCACAGGCGCTAATATAGCTGCCCAGGTATTTGATTTCCTGAACGACTTTAAGCTGATCACCACCAACCTTTAGCACAGTGGTGGGTCCCTGCCAATCTTGGAGAAGTACGTTGCATTTCGATGAAGCAAAGCATAGCCCAAAACGATAGACAGTCAGTGCTAATCGGTCCAGTGTTGTTTGACATGTTTGGGAGTTATCACTGCTTAGAGCAGCATCGTCCGCATTCTCCAAGTCAAGATGTCGCTCACCAGGAAGTATCTCCACCCCTTGTAGATCATGTCCAGCGAATGCTGTTTCCATGACCGTCAACTGCAAAGTTAACTATGAAAGGTGACAGCAGGCAACCTTTTCTCACATCGCTGGCCAGTTTGCTATAAACCCTCACTCTGCCCGAACTATGCACTTGAGATCAGACTGACCCCTCTATGATTATCGCATTCCGAACGGGAGCCCTCCTTGAAAATTGCAACGATGACTGAGAGATTCCAGTCTGTCGGGACAGACTCTTGCTCCCGAAGTTACACTAGCAACTCGTGTAAATCATCTACTGGAGTAGGTCCCCCGAAGGTTAAGAGTGGTGGGGGAATTCCATCTGTTCCTGCGGCCTTATGCAATTTCAACAACCTGATCTCACATTCGACTTCTGCACGTGAGAGCGGATCCAAGGACATGGCCCAAGGAGAAGGGCACTCAATGCCCGAAAGAGGAACCGATAACTCAGATTGATTAAATTGCCCTGCAAAGTGTTCGGCCCAAAGCTCCAAGCGCTTTGACAAGATGCGGATCGGCTGCCCACTCTAGTCACGTATGGTCTCCTGCTGCCTGTTTCCCGTATCAGACGGAATACCTTACGATGATTAACAACGGCAGCGGATGTTTTCATCCCCGAGGCACGATGGGACAAACAGACTTCGCCGTCCTTCTTCTGGCTAGCACGCAATTTTGCCCTGAGAATTTTACCAGCATCATTGTATACGCTTTCAGCCGGAATACGTCGGCGAGCATCCATAAGTTCTAGAGACTGTGTGGAGACCCAATATCCAGTTTGGCAATTTGATTTGCCACATGAAGACACGCCTGCTCATAGTAACGTTTGGCGAATATAGGACCAGTGGTTTTCGGCGGTGTTCAGTAGGCGTTTACTCAGCCCGGATGTCAGCGCACTTTGACACATATTCAGAACACTTGGCTTCGCCAGATGGCTAGTGTCTATCCGTTCACATCGACATTGCGGACGTTCACCGAAAGGCACCCTGAGGTCGGCGCAGACAAGTGCGTGGTCAGAGTCCAAGTTCGTGCTCCAAATCGAGCGACGGTTTTGGACACATCCTCTCCAGCGGTAATTGATCGCGATATGATCCATTTGCGTCCATGGCTGGCCTGAGGCTGGTAGGCGCCAAGTCACGCTTCTGCGCGTACTGTCTCCAAACTTTGTACTCGCGAGTAGGAGACGAGCATCTTCACATAGCTGTAGCAATCGCTCACCGATATCCTTACGCAAGCCTAAACCACGTTGACCGCCCAAATGAAGCTCGTCAGAGGACAATTTTCCGACTTGGTCCTTTAGATCGCCAGCCAACACCACATTCTCCGTGCTTCTTCTGTAACGAAAGCGATCGTGAAGTTGTTAATAGAAAGCATCCTTCACCGAATCAGTGCTACAGTTTTTGGGGGCGTAGGCCGCAATAACAAACAAGTACCGTTTGTTCACGCACGACTTCGTAGCGTGGAATGAACCAGCTACTCTAACGGCGCACATCCGACTGTTGACTGGGATCCAATCGATCAGGGACTCAGAACAATGCCGACGTCAGCCTGACCGGCATTTGAAGCTGCATCATCGCCAGACAGGCCCATTGAGAATGTGCCCAAAGTGTCGCATGTGGGGGATCACAGGGCAACCACGGGGCTCGGATGTTGCAGGCGCGTTTCGGATAAACAGCAAATATCGATCTACTGGGTCTCTAGTGTGTAGGCAAGTGCTGCCTGTTGGCCAATCTGTAGCAAAGTGCGCACGTTGAGGCATGCCAGTCTTAATGAGACTCGAGGACTCCAACGAGAAACAGATGAACTGATGTTGTCCGCTTTGTTGATCATGGACTTGTCGACTGAGCGACGCCCTGCGACTGTGTGAGTTGAAACTAGAAGACAAGCGACTATTGAAGCAAGGTGGGGAGGGCTAAAATTTGGAGGATTACAAATAGGGGGATAAAAGTAAGGTTGGAGCGGGACGATAAGGATGAAAAAGCGTAAGAAGGGAAATAAGAAGACGGGAAGGTCTGAGTAGTAGCGTCCAAACCCCTATTCACCACGCACGATGCACAGATAGGGCTTTATTGATTATCCTCTGCGACAGCCAGAGCATCAGGAAATTGTTGTAGGAAAGGTTTATTGTATTGCGTGGGCAGAATACTGTCAGGTTGCCTAGGCCTAGACAGAAAAACGATTAGGGTTCTCAACCAAAGCCTTTGGTTCAAAAACCTTACCGCAAGGCGGCGGGGTTTTGGCACTGGACTACGAAGAGCCCCTTTTATGGAGTAAGGAGCCAGCCTCATTCCAACCCCCAACCTGGACGACCGCGAGGCTGAGTTTGTCTGGCCTTTATCCATTGACCAATCTGGTCTCAATGGTTCTGAAGGTGCAAAATAGCATCATGCAGCATAGCTCAATAAATCATTGAGGAACACAAAAATCACACCACGTTAGCGTCCAGTTTTGTCACGATGGAATGCAACCAGGTGTAGCCGAAGCAGTTGTGCCAATAAATTCACTCACTGACGTGAGTGCACTAAGCTTTGACTGACCTAGGTGAAGCACGGTCAGTCTCATCCATGATATCCCAGCCAACGTACGTGCTACTCATGTTCGTACGATCTATAATATCACGTGACAGATATACGAGGCATCCAATTTCATGCGTTGGCAGTCAGATGTTGAATCGTACGGGTCCACCTGCACTAGAATAAGTCGATGGCGTAAGCGAAACAACATGACTCGTTTGGAGTGTATGGTCAATTGGAGACAGTAAATGGAAAGTACTTCCTCCGAGACTTGCTAATAATGCAAATGTTGCGTAAATTGCACTTGAAGCAGCTAAACGTAGACTCTATAAAAGGCTGTTGAATTCACTATTGAACTTTTAAAAACAAACCGTTTAGTGTTAGCGTGTGACTTATTTGGGTCCTCCCACACATATCCAAAGTATGGTCGCTAAATTTGATGAATGGGCGATGTCTGTTCTTGAAAGCGCCAATTTAGGCGTTACCTGAATACTTTAAATTGGCTAGTACGGTTTTGAAAATGATCCGTAGTTATCCTTATGCGAAATACAGGTAGAAATCTCATGCATCATACTGTTGTGTCGCTCTGCTTTGGATTGGACCTTCAATCTGGTTTCACTTAACTTTTCAGTCGTTCACGAAGGGCGTTTAATTTTCTGTGTGTTCAATAAACCAGATGTGTCATGTGGTATACCCCATGGGTTACTTGTGTGGAGACATCGACGCTACTTTGAGAGACATGGTGGTGTTTTTCGGGATACATGACCTGAACGATCTATCAGGCAAGTGCGTGCAAACTACATCGAGCTAATCAAATTCTTTTTTATCTCACAAAAGAGTAGGGAGAGTTGAATTCCAAGGAGGATGGCAGTAAAATCCATCCCTTCAAAAATCAGTCCTAGTATGCAAAGAACTCCACCAAAGCACAAGTGATATCTGAATTGAATATGACAATGACTTTCAGATGGATTGTAACTTAGCTAAACCTTTCCACAAAAGGCCTCGCAGTGCCACAAATAGATGCATCCAGGACGAACAGAGTACTTAAAGCAATGCTCACTTACTTGATGAAAGTCAGCGGCATGTTTCAAATGCAGGGTGACCAGCTCTGAGTACCGTCCAAGATTTTGCCAGGCTCTTTTCACGTTACCGGATAATTTCTTCGAGAAAGGGAAGAGAGTTTGCAAAAGGATAGAAAAAGTAAGCAAATAAAACGAAAATTTTCCAACTAGTCATTTCGACGTACTTGGAATTGATAGCATGCGGCAAGATACAATGACTAAGTTGAGATAAGCTTTAGAGCCACGGATGCCCTAGTAACCGCTAACCACCTACAGATGAGATTGCTGAACTCGGTCTTCACCCATTGATCCATAAGTAACAGTCACTTGTAATGTTCAGTATTGGGTTAATCTCAGATGATCTGAGGGGTAGACTGACAGCTTCAGGGTGGCTGAAATTTCGGCGTGTGTCATGGACACTCAGTTGTCCCACTGCTGATCTACCAAGGGCATTTCATTTCGCTTTTCTAGAATTTACAACATATGCACAAAGAATCTTAAGTGGCAATTACGCCGAATGTTACTCAAGGACTCCTACTCAGGCTAGGTCCAGTCAACTGGGTCTATTAAGACCGTTCAACGACAATACGTTTACAACTGTTAGTGTAGCTGCAATTGTAATATCATGAACAAGTATCATCAAACGTATCACTTGCACAGAGGGAATTAGTACTGCCTGCCGAGACTCAGTCGTTTAGAGTTAGAGGTTTCGACTGATATCCCAAAGGATCGGGGTTCGTGTGTCTGCTTTCCTCCCCTGATGTGGTTAAAGATGTTCGAAATCAGTAGTGAAGTTCAGTGCTTTCGGGCGCAACACCCAATGTTCATCTCCGAGTAGATTTGTACTTTCAAAACTGTCCTGAAGACAATCGGTTTGCATGGCTGTTGTGAATCGGCGACACTTCAATCTCGCCTCAAAAGGTTCTTCAGGCCGGGAGAATCGGTGCATAATTGGTACAGTTTTTACAGCAAATTCGGACGACATAGGGGAAAAACAATGTGAGTCAGTGGACAAGTACTGTTATAGTCCAAAGGGTCACAATTATATTCACCTGGCATCGTAATCACCTTCACCATCCGGCACGTAGACGGGACGCAGAACGTACTACCTGATGTGCTGTCGCGGCCGTCGTTGGATGACATCATACCAGACGGGGCGATACAGGTGTGTGGAGGCACAGCAGTGGAAAGCAACTTACTCGAAATACAAAGGAGGAACCAACTGGTGGAATGGCTGTGCAGTCATTTACAAATGGGCATCAAGCAGGATCCAACATCGCATGAGGTGAAGAAACTCGTTAGAATCTGGGACCGGTTGTACACAGTAAATGACAATTTGCTGTTGGCAACAACCGGAAGGAAACTGCTCTTTATCCCATCAGATCAACAGAAACGGATAATTCAAATGGTTCATTATAATGCACATATGGGATGTAAGAGTTTTTGACTTGTTACGGAGACGAGTGTTTTGGCATAACATGCGGAGAGACGTAGTGGCATATATACAGGAGTGCCCAAACTGTCAAACTAGCTGGGAGGCGGAAGCGCCCAGATCGCCAATGCAATCGATTGAAGTTACCAAAGTGCTACAGTGCCCAGGGGCTGGACCGTTGCCGTTGAGCCGATTAGTTAACGCTCACATCGTTGTGATGACTGATGATTTCACACGACGGGTCGAGGCCATACCTATTAAAGACAAAACAGGCGAAAGGGTGGCACGGATGTTCGAATTCAATGGACCGGCGCAGTACGAAATTCCGCTTTCCGTTGTCACTGACCAAGGTCTTCGCTTTGAGTCAAAATCGTTCCAAGCAGTTTTAGCGAAATGGGTCATCCAGAGACGGCGTACCTCAGCATATCACTCACAAACGGTTTAACCGGACGACGAAGATATGGATAAACTGCACAAAGCTGGCATGGAAAGAGGCACCATCCGAAGTACTACTCGCTTGTCGAACCAGAATGCTGTCAAGCACCACGGTTTGGTCCTTCGAATTGCAATTTGGGAGAGAGCCGAGAATTACACTCAATACACGGTTGGCGATGGATCGCGGGTGTGAACATCCAGCAAGGTAGCACAGGGGACTACAAATAACTGCCAGAATGGGAACAGCGGCACGACAAGTACGAAACAAAAGTAGTATGGCGCATGATATTCGACACAAAAATGGAGATTGTTCTACCTAGGAGACCCAGTAAGACTGTGCAATAATGATCCACCGGCATATAGAGGACCAGATGCGAGCAAGTTCAACCAACGGTGGAAAGGACCATATACCATAATCGATAGGAAAGGAGTTAACTTCAGAATTGACGATGGGATGGCGAAACGCTGGGTGAATACAGCTTTCCTGCGACCATGGTATACGATGGAAGCAGATCTTCGAGAAGGAGCGGGTGTAGTGGCACGAAAGGCGAGAATCACTGGCAGAACGGACAAGCCGTAAAAACTAAGGAAGGTGAAAAGTAACGAGGACACCGGGGACGGAAGTCGACAAAGCAGCTCGGGCCTAAGGAACAAATCGGAAATGGACAACGAACAACAAAGGGTATCAGCCCCAGGCCGAGAACGGCCAGGGAGGTGTTGGTGAACAGCCCACATTTCCGGAGAGATACACTTTTGGCCGCGCCTCCAGTAATAATCACTAGGAGAGCGACGCAACCCCGATTAAGCAAGTCAAGAGTATTAGAACGAATCAAGCCCGGTCAGAATAGGACACGCGAAAGCGAAGATACGAGGGCAAATCGGCGAGCGTTTACATTCATGCTCCGAAGCCGGGGCATGAATGTGACGCCGCGCGAAATAACAAGGTGTGGTGCGTGAAGCTCGGGAAATATCCTCTATATTACATGCGTGAGTGCTAGCCTGTGAACCCGTTGTGCGTTGGCAATAAAGAATGTGCACCGCTACCGTCGCTCTCACTACAATATCACTGACAACAAACCGCCCTCGTCCATAGTAATAAGACACCGGAAATATTCATTTTCAGTGAATATCCTGTTTGTATACCAGAGGGGTCACGTGGGGCTCTAAGAGAATATGTTTTCTGGGTTTATCAGTATATGTGATGCGCGTTATAATGTTCCCGATCGCAAATGGCTCTGCGCTGGTTGTTGCATTGGTAACAGAACTTCGACGGTACAATGCTTGGATACAATTGGAGTTTATAAATGCTATGTTTCTTTTGCGGTCGCGCGCAGCTTCTGGTTAAGAAGTAATGAATGAGGACACGGAGCGATGCACGTCTTGGCACATACTTCGTAGCTCAAAATTGCAATGTACCGCTGTTTGACTCGGTCGACACTATTGGTTTACACAGCCGCAGAGCCGCCGCTGTTGTCCATTAATTATTGGACAATTGTTTGTGGCCATACCATATCTGACGTCGCAAACGCTGAAGAAGTTACTGTGACCTAAGTGGTTTTTCACATTCGTACCCTTTCATAGACAGGACGAGACGTTAGCGTTTCCCAGTTGAGTTGCACAGTGCTAGATTTAAGCTGGCGTTGTAATACGTACAAAGACATTTATTCCTGTGGCTTAAGGGTGCCAACAAAATGCTTTCTTGTTGGATTGCTTGTGCTTCGAAACAATATCCATGTGGGACAAAGGCACCAGAGAAGCGTAGATGTGGGCCACCAATTTGTGTTTATCAGCGAGCCAAATGGTGTGACATTAGATCAGTTTATGATACTAAATCACCTGCGTTCAATGGATCAGATAGTTCGATTACGTGACCAGACTTCGCCTGGCTTTGTGAAGGGTCACAGTAACTAGTTCACGAAATGGCAAATCGTGACCCATGGTGGGAGCGCATCTAGTTGGTGCGTACCATAATGCCGCACTAGTTTCTAGGGCTCAGCTAAACCAACAAGTAGAGTCGAGTTGCAACATGATGTAGCCAACACATATATGTTACGATTGGAGGATTATGCTGAAACACGTGTTGTGTGGATGGATTGCGACGCGCAATTTCAAAGTGGACCGCGATTAACCGTGAAATGAACTTTGGCCATTCGATCACTAGGACCAGATCTGAAGCAGGTGCGAATCTGGTGTTACTCGAGCGAAAATAGTGCACAGCATTACGGGTTTCCAGCTTCTTTGTCCTCATCAGATAGAGATAGCAGGCATCGAACCCGGAACCATTGGGATGTTAGTTGTGACCGCTACCCCTAAGTCACCGGGACACGACGGGCAAAGCTTGGCACAACGGTTAATGACACATTGGAAAGTCATTTGAAGTACACGTTGTGTGGATAGATTGCAACGCGCAATCTCGAAGTGGACCGAGATTCCCATTGAAATGAACCTTGGTCATTCGATCATTAGGACCGCTGCTGATGAAACAGAAGCGAATTGGGTGTTGACCGCCTGCAAACACTGCACTCCATGCCGCGTTTTGAGGTTATTACCACTCATCAGCTAGAGATGGCAGATGGCGATTCCCACTGCAGTGAACATTGATCATTCGATCACGAGGACCGAGGCTAAAGCAGATGCAAATTGGGTCTTGCCCGTGCGAAAACACTGCAAATCACTACGCTCGTTTCGAGGTTGTTTGCTCTCATCAGATGGAGATAGCAGTCATCGAACCCGGGACCAGTGGGATGTTAGACGAAAATTGTACCCTTTTACTCACCCACTCACGGCGCGCAACGCTTGTTACAATGGTTAATGACTAACCGTAAGGTGAACAGATTACACCATACAACCGCGATTCAGATCGAATGGAAACTTGGTCATTTCGACCACTAGCAGCGCAGCCGTGTTATGTGCTCTCACAAAAAGCCGACTCTCAGCTTCTCCACCATAAAGTTACAACCGTTTTCTCTGCATGTGCTAATGGACTCACTTTCTTTCGTTTTACCTTCAGCATCAACGGGTATTACTAGCAAGAAACGTCACTGAATTGAAAGGACTTCATAGTAACTCAGTGCACGGAGTCATAACTGACCAAGGAGATAATCTGATAATAAGTGAAGTTCAATGTTTACGCGTTTTATGATCATGATTCTGCTGCTACATGTGCTTTCCACCATACCAGGAATGGTAGTGACTCATCAAGAAATGCTCTAAACATCACTTACCCTTTTCCAAAATTTTGCACCCATCCGTTGGGATACCAAGGCCAGAGCACGCTTTGTGTTAAATGCTGTGATATCCTGTGGTTTTTGTGTTACGAAAATAAAAACGAAACTAACTGAATAAAAATCCTCCAAACTCGTGATGCCTCCAAGGTAATGTAAACACTCTTGATTAACATCGATAATATTCTGAAAATGATGAGACGAATTTACACTTCACAAGGACAGACTTACTGAAATGTCGCGAAGTTCGCTTTCGACAGCAAGGTTCTACATTGATAAAAAACATTATCTCAAACTAGTTATGCTGTACTTACGTTTGATGCTGGGCTGTCTTGCACCAAGTCTATTTTTTCCTTTAGGTAGCTCTGGTATTGAAGTTCATCATCCAGCGCTTGGTGCGTGTACCCACAAGTGAGCGTTTGTGCGGAGCTCTGAAAATTTCCAGATAGAACACTCGTTAAACAGTGTGGCTATAACGGTGGGACAAAACTGGGTATAGTATTTGAGACACTGCGCGCCTACTCGCTGTGGCTGTTGAATTTACTATAGAATAACCAAGAATTTATTTTGATACAATTCTGTCCCATATTGGAGAGCTGTTTTTTACATCCAGCCCAAGTAAATGTTCTAAAGCTGACTTTAGTGCCTTTAGACAAAACCAGTATAAAGGACGCAGTAAGTGGCATGCTTTTTTGATCGATACGACTGGAGGTCTGCATTCAATTGGTCAAGAGATTGGCTGAAGACCGTGCCGGGTTGTCGCTAATTCTCTGGACCAACTTTGATCCGAACCCCAACATGCATTAGTAGCCAACCTGACATAGGTAAATTCCCCTCCCACGGTGTTGCACGTTGCTACGGCTCAACAGCTGCGCATAAGTTAATGACTAGTTGGCTTTTGCTATTAAACGCTTCGCAGATGAAGTGCATGCAAAGGTGTGAGGATCATACGATCTTCATGAAAGCCTACAACTCGACCAAGTTAGACAGACAATAGTATCTGGAAAAAAATGAACCGTCGTACCTTGCTTGGGGAATCATCATCGGTACGAGGAGAAGCTTGAAACAACGATAGAACTTTGCAAAAACCAACCTAATACTCCGGGTTAAGTTAGATTTCCGCAATAGACATGAATGAGTGGTCCACTGGGGCGCAGCTTGTACCGCTACAGCCGGCACATGCGTTCATCGTAGTTCCCTCTTCACCCGCCAGTAAGCGGGAACTAAATTGCCCAAATCAGACACTTATCACCTCCAACTCAGAAATGACGGATGATAATAAGGGTTTACTGCGCAACAGTACACAAGGAATCCCGTAATCTGAGCATTTGGTACGCTGGTTTTTCTCGGGTTAAATTATCACTTGGTGCGTTTGCAAAAGGTAAATTCCGTTCTGTTGGATTAACGGCATTACTAGCGCTTACAGGCGCTCGTGACTTATTGAACCAAGCCAAACCTTCTCCGCCATTTCGATGATCCTTTTGTTAACTATGGCATGTTTGCTTTGTTGTAATCGGGCGACAACGGTCCTTAGTTCATTACACAGCCTATGTGCAACCTATCCAACGGAATTTGTTAAATTCAGTCTAGTGTTTGATACTAAAGAGTACTATTATATCGACTGTTACAATCAAAAATACAGACGCCAAGATAACAGGAGCACCGCAATGCAGGTAGCATGGGGGTCAGGCTTCTCCTGCAGTAGAGCTTTTTCCCAGTTTCGAAATAGTGGCCTTTTTTGATTCCCATTCAGGTGATATGGTCAACGTCTATTCAGCTAACCCAACTTAAGCTACATCTACACCTTACCGGATCTGCCTGGATAACAAATCACAAACTGAAACAAAATGGTGAACAGTGTTTTTCAAACCCTAGATGATCACTGCTCACCTGTGCTCCACTCAAGGAAGCAATTCACACCATAGTTACCCTATTTTTAAATGAAATCTTTTATTTATTTCTTGGCAGTACGAGAGACTGTTCCAGTATAGGAACAGAACAAAGGCCTCATGGCGACTGCGGCAAAAGTAGTCAGTGGTTTACTATGTGAATTGTTACCTTACGCAACTGTAGAATGAAAGTGCTGACAGTAGATTTAAGATGAACACCATCTCGGTGATGAATGCTACTCTTCAGAATAAGCTCATCCATTGTGATTATTCCGATAGCCAAAGCCTACGGTGACCGAACGAAGTACTAGTGCCGGGTCGCAGTTTGAGAGAGAAATCATGCGATATAATGCAGCAGTCATTTGGCCATCTCATAATTTCCGGCATTTTATTTGGAATTTTGATAGAAATTTCATGTTCCAAATCCTATGGACCCTGAAATGTAAACCAGTCTGACCTACAGCTTCGGAAAATAAACGAATGGATGCTATGCCTTATAGGCTACCGTTAATTCACAGAACCCAAAGAGTGCCTCTCCTGGGCAAGGCATGATCCACCGCCTAGTGAGTCGATAATTAGTGCTGTTTGATCACTTCTATTACGTATAGTCGGAGGGGGTTCCAAGAAATCGATCAAAACAACAACCAATTATAAATTTGTCATCAAGAATCAAAGTTTTGTCCGACAGAGTTGCCCACACTACGTTTAATGCAACTGGTAATGCTGTCACAACTTATCAAGTCAAGAATGTACTTATATGCACCCGTGATGGGTGAATTTTCCGCCTTGGCACACATGCTGTCGATATGGCAAAAATATCACTCCGAAAGAGACAGAACAACAGCGAGAGAAACAAACTCGTCAGTTTCCTAGTTTGCCCTTCTGATGGGTTAGAGGGGCCAAATAAGGTGGTGTGTGAGATCAAGTACATGGACCATAAGGTGTTTGAACACGGTCAATGTTCTGTCAAACTAGTAGATTCCGTGTTTGGCGAACAGGTACCGAGAAGATGTCTCGGTTGCACCCCCAAGTAACTGTATTGCACCACCACTTTGCGACGTTGGCGTTTTGGGTTCCTGTTATGACTGGGTTTCAACTGGTTGCACAACGTTTGCTCAAAGTTGCTTATTATCCGTTAAACCATGATAATTTCACCAAACAGACAACGAGCTTGTCCACTGAAAAAGCCTTGCAATCTCAGTCGCAGTTGAAAACTCAAATAGAACAGTCCTCTGATATTTTTGGACTCGTAATATTGCGGGCTCTTCCGAATAATGGAAACTTCGTTATGCTATAGCTTCCACGCTTGAATTAGATATGGCCCCTAAGAGTGGATGCATGCACAGTGTAGATGGCGGAAAGTTAAAGTAACACAAAACTCTACTTTCGGAATGCAATACTTTGGACTGCTCCGGGAAGCCAAGGTCCTTTTCGCAAGATCGCTACCGGCGACATTGTTAACCCAGGGTATAAGCGTGAACCGTTTTGGTCATGAATGAAGCACTCAACATATTTTTTTACATTTACTTGATAAGGTCGTCCTGAAGCCGTATGTGTGTGTTTGGAGTTTTATTCCCTGGACATACCTTGATGTCATATACACAAATTAAAGCCATTAATGCAATTAAGTGAAGCAGGTGGTCATTAAGGGTCAAGATTAGCTGGGGACTCAGTACCGAGCCTTGTGGCACACTACGCCCAAAATGTATAAGACATTATACGGATTTAGGCACTTTTACCTCCAGACCATTGTAGTGGGGAAGTTTTCCATTCACATTAGGAAGGTTCACCAATACCGCACCCCCGAAGTTTACAGAGGAGAATGTAATGATCCAGACGGCTGAATGTTTTGGAGAACTTAAACTACATCAGCTTCTACAACAAGACACATTAGTTCAGTCCAACTGTCTATTGTAAATAACACCCTGGTGTTGCACTAGTGGTTATAGTGGAATTCATGTTGCTCTTGTACGATATCGATGCACCATGCTCCGGACACCGTCTGCGACTCCTAAGCAATGAATTTGTTTCTGGTGGTTGTTGTTCATACAACGATATTATAGCACTGTTGAAGGAAATGAGAACATCACACACTAAATGTCATGCGAAAGTAGTCGACCTGTCCCCACCTCCCACTGTTTCCTATTCTTCGATTCTCTGGATCGTGACTGTTTTGTTTCATCGATTCTTCGAATTCCAGGTGCACACAACACAGGGTGAGCAAGTCGGAATATCATTCAACCCAGTCACGTACTCTTCTCTACAAGTTAGGTCCATCGGTCAAATTGTCGTGTATAAATGCAAGAGACTAGTGGAGCGAAGTAAACGACATGGGTTGTATTATCGCAACTAGACTCAGAGACAGTCACTTACCGTGAATCAAATTTTTTGATAATATCGCTGAATTGCTTCTAGAAGTCCATGACTAGTGGTCAAATTAGCTCCACTGTCACGTTCCTTCAGGTCAAGGCCAAGGAAGTCCAATGTATACACCGGCACTTTAGTCTTGCACTTACGAACCGGCCTTGCGGCCACCCTGACCAAGAATTCAGTATAACACTCCTCACAAGCGCACCCCAGTTTACACAAATTTAGTGACGCCTTATGCCGCGGTAGAGTAGACCCTAGTCTGCAGGGTTTGGAGGTTGGACATTCGCCACCAATCATCATCCAAAATGTTGCTAGCCATGTGTTTTTGTAATAAACTTTAAGTGTGTCGTCTCCGAGACCTTCGAATTGTCCTTTAGCTTCAAATTCAGTATCGAAATATTCCTTCTTCAACTGACAAGGTTCTCATCACCTAATCATTTGCTTGGCCATTTTTAAATCAGGAAATAATTGTCAATAAAATGTGCTAATGATGATAAGTGGGGGTTTTTCGTTTGTGAACATGCAATTTACGTATATATATACATATACATTATATATATATATATATATATATATATATATATATCCCATGCTGAGGCTGATGTTGCATTCTTGATGCTTCTTCACCGCAGTTGGGCTAAACCAACTTACACTTAAACTAGGTCTTTACAAGCTAGCTACATTTCATTCCACTTTATTTGCTTTGTTCTGCCTACCGGAATAATCTATTATTAACTGGCCACGTTGCTTACTCTAACTGAGCTTATCTTTGTTAACTTTGTTGTGTTTGTAGCATTTTTAAGTAACTTGGACATTTTTTCCTTATCGCGGATTCGTTGCTAACCAACTTACTTCATATGCTAATTTAGCGAAGAGTTACGCCACCGTATCTGTATGCATTGTTGGATTTGTTTTATCTTATCGTTTCAAGTGATTGGCTGTTGCTTGATATCCCCGGCGTGGCTGCGCTTGATGTGCATGTTGACAAGGTGCCTACCTGTCTACTGTCCACTAACTCGTCCATACTGGCGCCAGGATACAGTTGGCCGTTGCTGGAGAGGACGGGGGTGCACTGTCCTTGTGGCCGCGCTAGGCTCGAGGAGCGCTTCCATGCACTGAGTGTATGTGTGTGTGCGGACTACGATCCAGCCACCGTCGTGTGCGCGCTTGAT